ACAGATTCAGTGGTTCTGTATTTCAGATGTTATGAACAGGATTGTGGTAGGAGAGGAGAGCATTCAAAACAACAATTCTTCAAGATATGGCCTTTCTCACCACTGTAGAAAATACATTAGATTCATATTGCCACTGTCTCTCATGTCTAGTCCCAAAGGAGATTTCAGTAGGTGTGGAGGTGCTGCTGGTTTCCTGCCAAAGTCCTCTCACGATGGCTCTCAGTAACCCCTTTGGGCATGTTGAGCTTCTGCATTTTCAGCCAAGTTTGTTACTTAACTGGTGGGAAAAAGTACTCAAATTATTTCCCAAAATTGTTGTCTAAACCATATTTTGGAAACTCTTTTAAAAGGCATCTTTTGTCATGACTGAGAGTATAAGAATAAGTGTGCCCACATCGTTCGCATGTAATTGAAAAGGAACAAACGGTGGAACAAATACTAGCAAAGAATCAGTTTTCTCCAGCAGGTCTTTTCGTAAGCGTTTAATAGTCCTGACCTTGAGGTTCTTGTTTGTTTCTACGTCTTGCAGTTTCAAACCCTGGAATCCCAAAGTGTTTTAATGGAGAGCCCTGGTATTTTAAAACCTACATTCTTCCAAATGATTCTGGAAGACAGTTTCCTGGAACTCAGCTAACGTAACTGTGTTCACACAATGGCCTTCACTCACTTCGAGGACATCTTTTCTCTCATGCTTAATGAGGGAGGCATATTAAATAGGCTTTGGTGATCTCTGAGCCTGGGCTGGAGCTACGAGGTCAGGTGCAAAGGCCAGAGCCAGTGGCTATAGTTGCTTCTTTCCAATATAATGAATGATCAGAATTCAGGTGATTGTGTTTTTAATCCCCGATATTCGTGATCACCTGAAATGAGTAATCATTATTTCTAGTCTAAAACAAGTGTGCTTTGAAAAAAGTTATTTATGGTCTCTACAGTTACGGTTCTCAGTTACAAGGCAAGCCTGGAGCTTTATGAGCAGATGGAAAAAATAGATGCAGTAATGGAATATATAAATAACCAGATACCTTTATCTTTAAGTCTACTTTGAAAAAAGTTATTTATGGTCTCTACAGTTACGGTTCTCAGTTACAAGGCAAGCCTGGAACTTTATGAGCAGATGGAAAAAATAGATGCAGTAATGGAATATATAAATAACCAGATACCTTTATCTTTAAGTCTAACCGTTCTGCTGACCAACCAGGGACATAAAATTCAAAGTGCAGAGTGTATGTGGAATGTATTTAATTTAAAATGTTTTTAGAAGATACTGATTTAGAAATAAGATTTGGATGTTTAATATACAATTGATCTGTACCTATAGGAACTGAGTGTCTTTGTATAACATAAATTGTTCATCATTTATATCCAAGGCCGGGTGAAGTTACTAAAATTTCTTAGGTCTTTAAATGTCAACAACTGAGCACATTTACCTACAGTTATGTTACTGTGCCAAGGTAATATATTCACGCCTAAATGTTGGAGTTGAAAATTCCAAAGTGGTGAAAATATGCTTGAATTATATGGTTCATATGATACCCATATGCACTAAAAAATTATTTCAATATATGGGACATGTATATTTTCAAGTCATTGTTTGGCCGTAACATTTTATTATAGTATCAACTTTGATCTTTCACCAAAATATAACCCACAAGATTATATGTATTTTTAATCATTCTTGCTGAAGCCAATCAAAAACATGCAGGATTAACAAATAGACTTTAAATCAATTTGGGGTTGTAGGGCCAAGCAGGCTAATTTTATTGTTTTTGTAATCTCAAGAGATGAAATTGGATAGACACAAAAGTAACCTTTCACCTAGCATAAGTAGCAACCAGAAGGAACTAGTTAGTAATTTAGTCTGTAGTTGGTGGCTGCGTTTCCCTGAGCTGTCATCAAATATCATGTAACAATTATGCTATTCTGGGAGATATAAACACTGAAAATCCCATTTTCTGGAAGACTGAAAGTGAGCCTAACCTGTTCGGATCTGTGTCCTGTGTCCTTGCTTTCAGTTGTCATTCTGATGTTTTGCAATATATTGTGCTGTGTCTGGCTGAGGAACACAGCTGACACTGTCCTGGCAGTGCTCTCAACATCCGACTTTATTCATCTGTGCCTTTGCCTTGCATGTAGGGTGAACTGAGATCAACGTGACAACACATTCTGATGTTCCCAAGAACAGGTTAGAGTCCCTCCAGTTCACTCAGCTGCTTTCCCAAAGTAATATCACCTCCTTGTTATATTTTAATATCCCATATGTGAACTAATAGGTGTGGTCAAGGAGAGCGATTTTGAACCTAAATACCTTTATTATATTGAACTCAAACTTGAAATTGACTTCAGCAAAAATGGAAGAATTCTTGTACCCGTTGCTCACTTTTCCTCATGAGTCCTCTCTCCTTTTGTTTCTGAAGAAAAGAAAACCCAGAGTAATAAAGTAACATACTCAAACATGTGTTCTCTGTTGGTTGAAAATGTCCTTCCAAGAGCATAGATTAGCCCTATTGGAAAGAGCACAGATTAGAGGAGCTAACCTCTCGCATCCTTGCCTGCCTTCCCTGGGCTAAGTGTACCGTGACCTCAAAGGAGAAATCCTCCCAGATCTTCCCTCCTCCACCTTCCCACAACCCCATTCCGGGGCAGCTCCCTTTCTCCAGCTTCCCTTCCTCCAGGCATCCCATTCCCACCTCCCCTAACCCCCATGGCACACTGGCCTTAGAATGCCCTGCCCTTCAGCCATTGCATTGGCTCATCTTACAAAAATTTCTTGTGTGTTGACCGCAGGGCTGGTTGCACATATTCCTTCATTATGG